CGAGCGCCTACTATATACCCTTTGGCATTCTAGATGCTGGAGATAGCGATGGTATCAAAGACAGACAAGATTATTGAAATAGAAATATTTTATATTAAACACTCATTATTAAATTAGAGCTTCTTGCAATTCAGATGACATGATATTTTAACAAAAGTTTTAGGAACAAGCCACAAAAATATTTAATGAAGAGGAAAAAAAAAAAACAACAAAAACTTCCAACTCAGTTGAAGAAAATCACACAACAGGATACATTGTATACGGTACTTAAAACTAGATGAGACAAATGGCATCATTCATGAAATGATGTTAATCTATCCCCCGTGTAAAAATGAGAAGACATCAGCTTACATATAGCACACATTTTGCAAAAATATGAGCCTTGAACAGTAGGGAATGAATATCAATGCTACTGGATTATTTTGCTTATAAACTTTAAAGTTCTCCGTTGAGAGTAAAGCAATAGATTTTTTTTTTTAAAGTTGCATGTCAAACTGAGTAAACCTTGAACTTTTCCCAGGAAATTTCTCTCATTTATTCTTTGTCGTTTCATACATGAATGGTGATGAAAAGTCACAGCCTTTACTTGTTATCCCTAACAGTGTTTGTAATTACCATACAAGGACTTTGGTCTGCCCTTTGACATTTCCAAAAATTGTATTTCAGTATGTATCTATTGAAGGCCTATCCTATGGGCCGAGATGCTAGGTAGAGAAATACAAGGATATTTGACATAACTGATAAAGTATTTTGGTAAAACGTAAGTACTTCCACGGGTCCCATTGTTTAACGTGGTCTGCAGCACCAGTGTGCGTCTTCAGGCTGCTTTCTGTATCATCACTCTCACCCGCTTTTCCAGCTATCACTTGCCATCTTTAAGTCCTGTTCGCACTCATTTAGGGATATAAGAATGACTTGGTCTCCTTTGCAAATGTATCTTACTCAGCGTCTCTTTCCACATGATTTAATTTCTTTCAACACGCCATCTGATCCCCATCATACAGTGAAGGTTTGCCCCACTTTCCAGAATAAGTGAGTATTTATTATTTCTCTGGGGGAGAGAGAAGAGGGAGGAAAGAGGGAGGGGAAAGGGGAAGAGGAGATGCTAACCTATAGATGAGGAAAAAAGAATTCTATTGCTCATTTTCTATATCTATATACAGAAATTTGTGTATATGTATATTTTTTAAGAGAAAAGGTCCAGTTCATATATGAGACAATATTGAAGATTTAGAATGCCCTTAAAAAGGAAAACTGAACTACATTTTCTCTAACTCTGGCTTAACTTTTCTTCTTTATGCTGTCAAACTTCAAGCATGGATTTAGACTTTTTATTTTTCTTTCCTTGTTAGATGGGGAATTTATTTCCTTCACCTTCACACTGGAGAGTATGTTATAGTTGAGTCTATTGGGCCATGGTTTTCTAAGATGAACATGTTTAGGTTGAGACTAAGGCAAGAAAATTCTTGGACAAAGAGAGGGTCTTACATATGTATCAGCGGCTAACTGGAATACATAAATAAAATTTTGATTCTGAAAATCACAAAATAAGAATCAAACAGAAGTTAAAAATGCTGGACAAATGTTAAGTGAAAACATTTTGATGTCTCTTCAGAAATCTTTTGTATTATCTCTTTTTAAAATATTTTATTTATTTATTCTGAGAAAGAGAAAAAGTGGAAGTGGGGGGAGGGACAGAGGCAGAGGGAGGGAGAGAATCTCAAGCAGACTCCATGGCAAGTGCCAAGCCCGATGCAGGGCTCAATCCCACAACCTTGAGATCATGACCTGAGCTGAAATCAAGAGTCAGACGCTTAACTGACTGAGCCACCCAGGTGTCCTGTATCACTTCTCTTTTGTCACCAAAGGAATATCTAGCACAATTCTTGGATGTTAAGGGAGAAAATATTTATTTCTCCTAGCATTTTCCTTATGGTTCTTGCTAAAAGGACAGAGGATCGGCTATAAAGCAGATACTAAAACTAAAAATACCTGGGAGGAAGGGCCTTGAGGGAGTAATTTGGATGACTACACTTCCCCGGTGCTTCTGTAAGCTTCCTTATTTGTGTTGAGCATGCTCCTTTGCTTTTTATATTATCAACATTGAACAATGTGACAAAATTATTTATATCTGTAGAGAGATAGGATATAAGATTTTCAAAATTCATAGTGTTAGGGTCTTCAAACTCTTATTATATACTGATGATACTTAAATTAACATCTATTGGCCAATGATATTTTGATCATGAAAAATTATCAAGGATGTTTGGCCTTTTGCCTAACACAGATTCAGAAGCTCAAGATACTTTATTGGGGCTCTTGGAATATTCAGATCTGGTTAAATTCTGATAAATTTTATTATTCAGCATCATTTACTCAAAGTCGTCAGTAACCTGCACTTTGTATTTTTTTGTTGTTGTTTATGTCTATCTATACAATAATATAGGCTTTTTATAATACTATTTCTCTTTAAAATGAGGAATGGCTCTTTTCACTGCCTTGTGGGAAGCCAAGGGGGACTATAGAGCTGACAGCTGCAACATCAAATCAAACTAAAATAAAAATCTTGGAGTTCAATGCTACCAAACTTTTCCATCCTTCTCCCTTTCTTCATTATTTGTTCTGCTACAAGCAAAGAACTGATGCCGTTTCTACATGTTTTAGAGCAAATAACCACTTCCAGATGGAAACGTAATACATGCAAAATGCCTTTTTTCAATGATATCTAAAATTAGCCACATCACTTAGCTATATGGATCTACAGGTAGATTTTCTTTTGCGGAGATGGGTAGGGTAAGTTATTCACCATATAAACAAAAACGGTATCCAAGAGAGGATCAGAGTACCTGTGTCGTTGCAACCATAGGCATTGGATGGAGAAGCACAGGGAACTGATGAGCGTGTAAACAAAATCACAACACAAAAGTGTTCAAATTTTCATGTACTTTCCGCGGAAAGTGGTAACCTGCCGCCATTAGGACACTCGGCAAGAGTCAAGATGTGCGGAGGAGGTGAAGCAGACACTTGAACATCTGTCCACTTCATGGGAAGGCTTTTCATCCTAGAATACATGTACTAATAAACAACAGTTGGAGAAAATTGTCCATGACATTCAACATAAAGCTGAGCTTTAGCTGAGAGAAGGAAGGGTCGAATTGTATTTCCTTTTGCAAAGCGAAAACAGCCGTGAGTGCTGCTTCTTCTAAAACCTAACGTTTAAAAAGAATTGTAAGAAATCAAATTGTTCAGTTTGGAACGAAGAGGGACCGAAGTTACTGGAAAGCTCATGCCTCTGAGTCTGCAAAATCACTGGCCAGGAGAGCAAAACTTTTCCAACACCCAATTTTAATACTGTGCTAAAGCCATTGACTCTGTTAAAACCCTGGAGTTAAATATGATCCCCTCCCCGCTGCACCCCCCCCCCCCCAGCCCTTTCTCTCTTAGGTTAGTGTTTGGGGGACAAGGGGGCTGGAGCTTGGCCCCAACCTCGGAAAGGCTGCCAAAAGCTTGTAATACAATCTCTCCCCATTTGAAGGGTAAATCAGTGTCAATTGCGTTTGCCGTCCACCAGAAAAAGTAAGCATTTTACTTCCGCTCGGTCTATGTGGACTGATGAAATGTAGGAAATCTGTTTCTGGCAGGGGGGAAAATCGTTTTCCCAAACAGCACCGAGAGGAGCCATCAGAGAAGTATGAAGAGGGGCAGTGCGGCTGAAGCTGCTGCCGCTGCCGCCGGGCTGCTGGGGTGCGGAGCGCGGCTGCTGCAGGACCTGCGCCGGGAGGGGGCCGGCCCCGAGACGCTGCGGGAGGCGAGCCGGGAGCCCCGGCGCCTCTGAGAGCCGCCTGCAGCCAGCTCCAGACGCGGGGTGAGCGAGGCGGGCCGGCCGGGTTCCCGCCAGGGTCGCCGCAGCCGCCGCGCGCGCTCAAGCCTCCGGGGCAGCGGGAGCCCTGCCTGCGGGTGCGCGGGGGGCGGCGGGGGAGGGCGCTCGGTCGGGTGACCTCGGGGGCGCGGCTGGGACCGGCGAGGAGCCGCAGACGGCTGGACCGGCTCCGGCGCTCCGTGGGTGGGCACCGCAGTGGGTGACTCGTGCGCCCTGGACGCGACCCTGTGTTCCTCATCCCTGTTATGGAACAGCCCACATGATTGCCGCACCGAGAGCCCGCTGGGGCGGCTCAGCCAACCAGGGACGGAAGTGAGGACTTGCAATTAGCGCATGGATTCGAAACGCACACTTGGGCATTCGTGCGCCGGGGGGGGGTCTCCGTGATGCATGCTCAGCGTGGTCGGTGGCTGGGGAGAGGGGGGCCGAGCCGAGGCGGTCTTCCCGGAGTGATCCCGAATGCTCTGCGAGAGTGGAGGAGGCCGGGATGGGAGGAAAGAACACGACACTTAGGATTTGGGGAGATACTCTCTGTTTTCGACTGATGAGTTTCACAGAAATGGACTTTTTTTTTTTTTTTTTTTTTAACGTGAATACACAAACGAATGAATCAACCCTCCTTGGGAAGATTTTGCGCAGTGGTATTGTTCTTTTCATCCGAAGAGCAGGGTTTGGGAATCCTAAGTAGTTTGGGGGAGCCCCGAGGAGCCAACTTTGCTTTGGAGGCATGAGGTATCGCTGCAAAATTAACTTCTGTCAGCCCAGGAAGGTGAATTGCCTAACTTAGCCCAGACCTCCGAAGTTTCTACCGTCTTGACTAGAGAGGGAGCAAAAGCAGGGGTTAACAGACTCTTTTCTTCGACATTCCAGTACAATTGGGGTGGGGGTGGGGTGGGCTGTGCAGTACTTCCCTCCCGTTAACCTTTTCTGAAATCAAAGCCTTTCCTTTTCCGCTTTCTTCATCTTCATTCTCTGAACCTCCTTCCCCTTCATCCACTTCTAGTTAAGAGTCTGCAAAACTTTACCGTCCCTCTTGTAAACTCCTCCCTCGCCCCAAGCACCCTCTCCAACAAAGCTAAGTCAGTTGTTTATAGGAGACCTTTTGTGGGGGGAAATAAGATCTGCATGTGCACAGGAACACCCATTTGGCCTCCTAGTGTTAAAATAAAGGCTCAGACAAGTCGGATGTGCCAGCCAGGCGGGGGAAGTCCACCTTTCCCCCTCACCTAGCGCGGAGGTTCGCAGACGCCAGGCTGGGAAGGAGCCCTTGTGGCTCCTTGCTTCCTTCCCCCAACCTCTTAGACGCGGGGACGCTGATTAGCTGCAGCTGGGGTCTAGTTAGCCCGGCCTTTGAAATCGATCAATGGGTTCCTTCTCGAGGAATGCTCCCCCCTAACTGCGGAGGAGGGGGTGGTGGCTGTGGTGGCCTTCTCCAACATGGGCGTCCTGGTTCTGACCGCCTAAGAGAAGGTAAGGGACAGACAGCTTTTGCAAGCACGTAAGGGCCTTCTCACAAGGCTGCCAGGGTGGGCTCTGGAAGGGGAAGGTAGCTTGAATTTCAGCCTGTGAAACTAAACTTTGGGCTTATTTCTTCACTTTCGTGCTAAACGCCCTGCATTTGTGATGTGGACGGACTGTGCTTTACTGGAGATACAGTCATATGGCACAATTTCTTTCACCTGGTGCAAAAAGGTCATGTGATTGCCACTAAGTTTTCTGGAATCTTGGTAAGAAATCTTAGTTAAAGCTTCAGCTTACAGGTATGGTGAAATAGCAGGTCTTAGATTAATCGCAAGTACCTTATGTATAATTTTAGAATTTTGACTCAAGGCTGCAAATCTGTATTATTGACTTTTGGAGCCTTTGGAAGGCCAAAGTTACCTTGGTTGAAAACAATGAGGCTCTGACGATTTCTTTGCCAAGTTTTTTTTTTTTAAACAGCAGCTGATGTTAAGGCTCTCTTGGTATCTTTGTGGTTTTGATACAGAGACACAAACAGAATCCCAGTATTTCTTTTCATTTCTTCCCAGCAACAATCAGGATTTTCCACTTAGTGTTTTTAGACTAGAGAAAAGACTGGAGAGAAGGTAGAAAATACCTGCTGTCAAAATGAGTAAGGCTTGTGTAGTTTCTCTGTCCTAAATGTTTTCAGGGTCAGTTGGGTTTTTACTACTGTTCTCTCCTTATATGAGACTATATGCAACAAATACATATTCAAGACGGTGTAGAACTCTGCTAGCTCTCAACTGCATTATAGTTAAGTAAAACAGAAATCTTTGTATCATAAACAACATCAAAACCCCCAAAATGTTCTCATGAATTAAGGTTGACTTAATCAACTTAGATGAAATTTTGAGGTAAGCCCTTAGTCTAATTGATTCATGACTTTCAGATGGTTTTCTATTCAAATTGTGTTTCAAGTTAATCTGGTAGGGGTCCCAAAACCAGTGCTAAATCCTTTGGAAGAATGGATTAGTAGGATTTTTAAAAACTTGAAAGAAATTGCCATGAAAATATAAGAATCAATCCCCACTCAGTGTTAACTTTTGGGTCATGATTTGAGAAGGAATTATTACAGTTATACCATCATTTAGTTCAAGACAAATCATCACGGGGTTTGTAGGAAGAGAAATATTTTCTGGGGGGAGAAATAGCATTATTCTAAATTGGAGGCCAGGAGAGCTGAGTAGGATATTTTTAATGACTCTGTGAGTAAATAATCTTGTTACTTTGGGCAAAATATCTTAGGCCTCTAGTCTCTTATTAAAAACAAGGAATTTGGGATTCCTGGGTGGCTCAGTCAGTTAAGTGTCTGCCTTCGGCTCAGGTTATGATCTCAGGGTCCTGGAATTGAGTCCCACATCAGGCTCCTTGCTTAGCAGGGTCCTGCTTCTGCCTCTGCCTTCTGTTCTCCCTGCTTGTGCTCGCTCTCTTGTGTGCTCTCTCTCTCTCTCTGACAAATAAATAAATAAAATCATTAAAAAAATAGAAATCAGGAATTTGACTGCTATATCTTCTAAGGCTCTTTTGAGTTTAAAGATTTTACTACAGACTTAGAAAAATTGATAATGAGTATCATTTTGCCATTATTCTTGGTGCTTTTTTTTTTTTTTTTTTTTTAATTTGTGGACAAGTTGTGCCTCTTAGCCAGCGTGTAGGTCCACTTTTAAGATCTAGAATAATCTTTCTCATTAAATGTTAGACTGTTATTTTCAAATTAGGGCCTTAGGATAAGATTTGGCATTCATGACATTGGTTGAGAATATGTAGCTTTGTAGAGATGTTATTGGTTAACCAAAATGAATCACAAAGGATGAAAGAGCTCAGAATGATGGAAAAGCCATCTAGAGTAGTCCTTGGTTATTGGTTCTTTGAATTTCAGTTGAAAGATAGCATTTTATCCTTCCAAATTTTGAAAGGGTGTTTGGCGTGTGGTGTTCTTTGTTAGTTTAATTTTTAATTTTTTAAAATGGTGTTATTGGCCTATAAATTTTCTTTCTTCATTGTTTCACACTCATAACACACAGAATTGAATAAAGATGAGGTCAGTGCTACAGATCAGAACAAAATTGGTTTTTGGGGATGGGGCCCTTGACTTCGGGTTCATTAGCTTTCTGTTTTAAATGGCTACTATTAAGGAGTCTGTGTGTGTATGTACGTGTGTGTGTGTGTGTGTGTGCGCGTGTGTGTGTGTATGTGTTGGGTGGGGGGGTGTGTAGTGACACCCTTTCTCATTTACTTTGAAGGTACAGCGTTCCCCTATCTCTAACTGGTATCAAAAATGAGGTATAATTTGTTACCAAACTTTACTTTTAAAAACACATGTAAACATCTCATTTTAGAGCTTAACATTTCCTTCATCGCTTGGGGTTTCATCTGCGTCAATATGAAGAAAACTTTGGATTTTCCATTAATTACGTTTTACTTAATCAACACTTTGTTTTCGTTTCTCCTCTTTTGACTTTTTTTAGTGATTTGTAGTTCAATAAAATATTTCTATTTTGTTACAGAACTGTTTTTCTTTTTAAAATATGTCAATAGGAGTTTTATTTTGGTACATTTTCTATGAGGTTGATTTGGGTTTAGCTATTACAGGGTATAAAATATAAACCAAAAAGTAGAACAAATATTTAATCTTCACAATTATATTTGAGGCATTAGCCTCCATTTTACATGCTGGAGAACTCCAGTACAAAGAAAAATTCATCCTACTGGAATAGAACAGCTATTAAATAGCTAGGTAGTAGAAGTATTTGACCCCACCACTTCTGATTCCCAATCTAATATTCTATCCATTAATCAGGCTTCTCAGTGGATCTCATAGTAGACAGTAGTGATATAATATTTATAATTTTACTCTCATTTTTCTTTCTTTCCATTTATTTTCCATGCAGTACATTTTTGGTAACATGTCAGCAAAGTCTAGAGAGAGACTGGAAACCATCTTGATTGTAATCAAAGCACACCTCTAGGTGGCGTGAAAGCATACTTTTTTTTCAGAGTCAAAACTATGATGTCTTTAATGGGGATTCTGGAGCAACAGACTAAACAATCTTTAAACATGTGATATTTTACTTATGGAGTCACTAATTTTTTTTTTCTTCTTCCCCCGGGCTAGTTCAGTCTCATCATATTCATAATGGTTATTCCAGAATCAGTTCTACTATGGAAAGAAAGAAAAAATAATACACACACACATTCTTTGAAGATTTTTGTATTAAGTTTCTGCATGTTTTTCCCTTTAAGTTTTATTTTTCTGAATTCCAAATCCTGAGGGTTGAGTTATTCGTTTTTAGAGAGACCCATACAGCTTGGAGAAGCCATAGTTCAGAGGGTCATAGAAGCATTTCAGTCCTTCTGTCTCCAAAACAATTGGCTTTGCTTAGTACTTATCAAAGTCACTTATCAAGCTTTTAAAATATTTAGATTATCTGAACTTCCATGGTAATATCTTTCAGTGTTTAGATATATCATATAAAATGTTTTTCTTTCCCCCAAACCTAACTTTTTTTCTTCAAGTCTAATAGATCCTTAATCATTTTATTTCCCATTTTTAAAAGCTACTCCTTGGCATCTCTTTTGGTTTTTGAAAACTTTTGAATAATTCAAAGGAGCAGAAATGATCTTTCTGTTATAGTTTGTTCTTTGTGATCTAATTCAACTCATCCACTTGGTTAATGCTGAAAATTCTAAAAACGTTACAATCTTGTACTGATCTTTTGTCTGAGTAATATAAATTTATTTGATTGTTATTCATGCTTAATGAAATTAATGTTATTCATGTTTAGTCATTTCTGTTAAAAACTACTTCACCATGGGATAATTCTTCCAGACTCCAGATTTTGATCCTAGCTGGGTTCATTTCCGTGTTTCTTACTCATGTCTCTGCCATATTTAAAATCGAAGACTTTCATGCAGTGACTTTCAGCTAAACCACAAATTCATGCTAGGTTTGATGGTGATTTGAAATATGAAAAATGGATCAGTGGAACTTGGGTTGAAATCCTGATTTTTTCCCAAGACACGTAAACAGAAGAGCCCCTGTCTATGACAGTGACTCTAGGTCCCCGTATTTGGCAAGTGTTTAATTGTTTAAATTCTATCACCTGCTAATTAACCACTAAACCTTCTTTCTCCCACTTTTGCTTCCTGGGGAAATATAATCTTATTATTTTTCCCCTTTGTATATAATTTTGATTATGTCCAAAGCAGCATAACAAAAATTGCCTAATTACTCTGATTGTTTTTCTTACTAATCATCTATAAAGATCAGAAGATAGTTTGAATTACATTTCTGGCAAAATACAGGACACACTACATGAGGAATAAATGTGCCACTGTCAAGGAAAAGAAAAACTTCACTGTTGGAAGGACTGAGGGGAAGGATTGTGTCCTTCTGGCTCATTGAAACTGTTACATGCCATTAGGCTTACTGTAAACTATCCCTTGATGAATTCTTTGCTAGACAATGAGCTTAAGTATCTGAGGTGTCTTCTTGCTTTTACAGTGCAAAGTAGGATTCTGGTGCTTAAATGGAAGTTTGCAGAGCACATAATAGGATGTAGGTAAAGTTACTGAACTACCATATCTCACTTTCAGGAAAGTAGTGGGAGAGATTGTGTCTTGAGAAGAAAAGCATTTTCGAGGTAACCCTTTTAAGATTTCAATTAGTTATTTAAATGTATGAATCATGTGCTTAAATGTATTATTACTTAAATGTTTGTTTCTGAGGCTAGCTAGCCTATAGGAATCCTAAACAGCCACAGGGAGATGTCTTGTTTTCCTGGGACTGGACCTATTTTTAAAAGAACTGGAGCAAAAATTTTTAGATTTCTGATATTTAATCACAGGGTTTGGACAAAGCTTCAGGACATTATATGAAAAATATGATGATTGACTGCAAAAAAAATAGGCAATGATGACATTCTGTAATGATGATTTAGTAACCTATGACAAAATGTACTAAAAATCTTTCACTTTTGCACTGGTTCACTTTAGATAATTAGATATATACAGATTTATAAAAAATGTTTTCAAAGATAATTAATGACTTTTTTTTCAGAAAGTTATCCGAAAGCATAATTGCTTTGGAAATGAAATTGCCTATGTCTTAAGATTATACATTTATGACACTTTTTAGGTATTGACTCATGTTATCAGTCTTTTCTAATATTACACCAAAATGTTTGGGAAACCATCACATCTTGCAATTTTCTGAACACCAATGTTGTCTTATTTTTTTTTCCAGAAGCAGACTTAAAAGGCAAAAAATTAACCTATGCTAAGAGAATTAGAGTATAATAAGTAGAAACAAATATTACATAAAGATAAAACTGACAGAATTATATACAATTTATGTTGGTAAGTTTAAAATACCATAAATCTTGAAATACAGCTGAAAGCCCCATTATATCTATTGTACTCCTTGCCAGGTGCAAATATTTTCATTTTCATTAGTCATACTATATTTGGTTATTTCATATGCACTATTTGTACACAGAATACAGCCCTACACATTGTTAAACTGATGATATTACTGATATGATATTACTCCTGTAGTCTTAGGTCCGATAAATGATGCATGCAAAGTGCTACATTCAAGACCAAGTATATATTCAAACATCCTTTCTATAACCCACGCAGGGGACTGTGCCATCTATAAGGTGGTCGGGTTAATGAATCTGTTTTGTAAAATATATCATTCTGGAAAGAATAATGGTCTTAGAGTATGAAGTCCCAGGTTCAAGCCTGACTCTGTCATGATCTAGTATATATGATCTTGGTTGTCACTTACCCTCTCTTGTTTTTTATTTTATTTTATTTTATTTTGGTTGTTGTAGTTGTTTGTTTTTTCATTAATTCTAAGATGAGGAAAGTGTAGCAGGTATTCTTTGAAAAAGCATTTCCTTTCCTGTCTCCTCACCAGTTCTCTAAACTATGAGTCCATGATAGCTTACCCATATGCAAAGAACCAAGTGCTCCGCTTAATCTTCCAGGTAATAGTTTTAAGAGTAGGGGTGCCTCTGAAAAACAATCTGAGGGTTTTGGAGGGGCGTGGGATGGGAGTTTGGGTGAGCCTGGTGGTGGGTATTATGGAGGGCACGTATTGCATGGAGCCCTGGGTGTGGTGCATAAACAATGAATTCTGGAACACTGAAAAGAAATTTAAAAAATTTAAAAAAATTTTAAAAAATAATAATAATAAAAAAAAAAGAGTAGGGGCACCTGGGTGGCTCAGTCAGTTAAGCCTCTGCCTTCTGCTCAGGTCATAATCCCAGGGTCCTGGGATCCCACCCCGAATCAGGTGGTAAATCTGCTTCTCCCTCTTCCTCTGCCTACAGCTCTGCCTACTTGTGCTCTCTATTATTCTGTCAAATAAATCAGTAAAATCTTAAAAAAAAAAAAAAAGTAGTGACCCTAGGTTCACAGTAAATCGTGCAAATTATATCATTGCTTGTACTCAGTACTAAAAATTCTGTGGAAATCTATGGTTCAGCCATTAACCCAAATGTTGGGAGTTTACAATTTGGATACTAAAATTTTAATCAAGCCCTTTTTGTTACTTTTGAATAAGTGGAATTTCTTGCCTTAGAAGCTCTTTTCCAGTGTGATGTTTTACATGAGCTTAGCGCTTAGTGTTTGATTTTTCTATTTGACCTCAGATTGCTGCTGTTTCCTACCAGGTGGTTGGTCAAAAGGGATAGGCCCAGTACAGAAAAAGCAAACAATGTCTCGTGGGGTTTAATAATTAATAACCTGACCTGTCATCAAAACACCCATGGACCTGGTTCCTTCCTATGTCATTGGCAGGAAGATTTTAACAAGAGACATCTAAAAAGCAACTGCTCTTTTGTTTCCAAAACAGGTTTTACGAGTGCATAAATAATGTGCACTGCTCTGAGCCCAAAAGTGCGCAGTGGACCCGGCCTATCTGATATGCATCAGTATAGCCAGTGGCTGGCCAGCAGACATGAAGCTAATTTGCTACCGATGAAAGAAGATCTGGCCTTGTGGTTAACCAATCTATTAGGTAAGGTTATAAGATCTCATTTGGGGAGCAAAGATAACAGGGTATTTTTTCCCCCTCGTGTCGTGTCCTTCACCTAGGCATGTGACAGCAACTTGGGAAGAAAGATGTCATTATTTGGATTTTACGTCTGGGAAACCTGAAGAATGTGGAAAATTTAAAGGAATTTCTCAATATCTCTCGCATGAACTGTGCTTAGCAATTCCAGTGTCATGCACTGAAAGGTGGAAATATGTGGCCAGATCGCTTGTTTCATCTAGAAGCTGATCTGATTGATCTTGGATTTCTCTTTCATGCAGCTGACCACTTTGGCCTGTTCTTTCGACATTGTACACAGGCCACAGCCTGTGAAATCAGACTTCTAAAACTAGATTTCTTTGCCCTACTTTCGTAGCACACCTTCTGAAACTGCTGAATGCCCACGCTTGAGAACAAAAACATCTATCCTCTGTCTAAATGACCTAACAGGAGTCACCCAACCTTGAACTGAAATTTTTCTTCTCATTTCACTTTTGTTTTTAAGTACTCTTCCAAAAGTTGTCTCTGAGAAACATGCTACCTCATATTAAGGCTGACTCTTTTTCTTTCTTTCTTTCTTTTTTTCCCATTTCTATAGTGCCAGCATATTCATAGGATATAATTTTAACCCTGTGCAAAATGGAGTCATGCATTTAAAGAGTCGTCATCTAGAGCAGTGCTGTTTTCATTAGTAGATTTTCCCAGAGAACAGGATGAAAACCTGAGGGAAGGACCCTTATGGGCATATAAGAATAGAAGATTTGAATATTGAGTAAACATAGAATTTATATGGTGCTTTATTATTTGCAGAAGGGATTTCACTAACATTATTTTCTTATTTAAAAACTCCTTCAAGGCAAATATTTCTTTTTCTCCCCACTTTCTAGCTGATGGAACTAAGGAGCTTAGTGAGGAGCACCCTGTTTATCTAAAGTCCTAGCAAGGTTTTTAACAAGGTTTGGCAAGATTTTGGCACATTTCAGCAAGATGTTCCTTTTGCTCATCACAGCTCTGGGGTTTTGCATGGTCACTACATTTTTTTTTTTTTTTAAAGATTTTATTTATTTATTTGACAGAGAGAAAGAGATCACAAGTAGGCAGAGAGAGAGGGGGAAATAGGCTCCCTGCTGAGCGGGGAGCCAGATGCGGGGCTCAATCCCAGAACCCTGAGATCATGATCTGAGCCAAAGGCAGAAGCTTAACCCACTGAGCCACCCAGGTGCCCCCGTTACATTTTTTTAAGCCTTCATCATGAGGGTAGATGTCTCCTTTTTCCTCAGTGTGTACACCATTTTGACGACTCTGTGTAGTATAGCCGAAGCTACTGCCTATGGCTGTGCAGGGTTCCTGCCACAGGGTAAGGACAGAAATGCAGAAGACATTCCCGGGAAGACCCTGCGCTATGCTGTGGCACTATATCCACTAGAAGGAAGGGGCTACCCCTCTTAGGAAGACATCTGTACAAAGGAGGAGGTTTTATCTTCATCACATACAGGGAGTCAAATTTGTCTAGGCAGATGGATTTTTTTTTTTCCTCTTCCTCTCCTTTTTTATTTCCTTTTTTATTTTTTTGTCTCTCGAGGTTTCACTAATGTTTGTTATGTATGCGAGTAATTTATTATGAGCTTTGAGCTGTCTTCAACTGTGGGCTACCGCAAGTACAGAAGCATAGAGTGGGAGTTACAAACACGGACATGAACTAGACTGCCTGCTGTGTTTGAACCTAGATCTGCCACTTACTAGCAATATGACCTTGGGCAAGTTACTTGACCTGTCTGTGCCTCAGTCTCCTTTTTGGTAAAGTGGTAATAATGTTGGTGTCTCCTTTGTAGGGTTGCTGTGGGATTAAGTGATTACATTAGGTGTATCTCAGTGCTGGGCATATTGTAAATACTATACAGTTCTTCATTGTTATTCCATTGTTATTCCATTTACAGAGTTCAGTGATATTGTTAATTTGATTGTGCGGGTAAGTTTGTATATTCAACAAACGTTTGAGCATGCTGCAGCGTAATATATTAGTTTAAAAAATGGACTCTGGAATCAGAACACTTGAATTCAAATCTCAGTTCCACCGTTACCCCCCTCTTATACTAGGCAAGTGTCTTAATGCAATGTGCCTCAGTGTTGTAATCCGTAAAACAAGTATAATACTAATAACAACCTCATTGTTTGAAATTTGAATGAGATCCCCAGCTCTAGAACAAGATCTAGCACATTATAATCAACTAGCTGGTAAGTACTAACTATTTCGATTAACTGTGTTTCAGACACAATCCTCTAAGTACTGGAGAGTAAAATAGTGATTGGGAATAGAGTACCAGTTCTTATAGGGCTTGGAATAGATTGACAAAGAAACATTTTAAATAAGGAAGTGAATAAATAATTCATTAATTAGACTTGTTTTTTTATTTTATTTTTTTAAGATTTTATTTATTTATTTGGTAGAGACACAGTGAGAAAAGGAATACAAGCAGAGGGAGTGGGAGAGAGACAAGCAGGCTCCACACTGAGCAGGGAGCCCGATGTGAGGCTCGATCCCAGGGCCCTGGGATCATGACCTGAGCTGAAGGCAGATGCTTAACAACTGAGCCACTCAGGTGCCCCTAACTGGACTTGTTTTAAACTCTAAAAGATATAGGTTGCAATAAGAATGTAAAAAGAAGGAAGTAGGAATGGATTAAAACATCACACGGCTTGGGGTGGGGGATCCCTTTTAAAAAATCTTATATTTAATTGAGAACTGAAGAATAATTAATAGCTAGCTGGACAAAGCATGGGAGAAGAGCCCAAGTGGAAGGAATGGCATATGCTGAGATAGGAAGGAGCTTGGTACCTGGGAACTGAATGAAGACTGGCAATAACAGCAGTGATCAAGAGGGGGGAGAATTTCATGTGATGTTTGGGGGCTGGTTGCATAATGCTTTGAAGACAGTGTTAAGGAGCTTTATAATTTATTGTATGATCAAGGAGGAGCCTTTGAGATTGTGGGAAAGATTGTGATTAGAGTATACCCTGATTGTGTAGGCATGTTCCAATGTCCCATGGCTTGTCATCAAAGGCATTTCAGTTGGTGAATGTGATCATTTACAGAGCAGTTTGATCAGGGTAAGCAGCCCACGACATCCTCAAAGAATAGAGAGTCAGTGTGTGTGTGTAATGGAAAGATCCTTGGACCAAAATCCAGGAGACCTGGCTCCTAACTGGGTGTCAGGAGACCTGGCTTCTGATTCTGGCTTTGCCACTCAGTAGGAAATTTGCCCAGAGTCACTCAGCTATCTTTTTTGGGCTCTGTGTCCTCAACCATAAAATGAAGGCCTTGGAGTGGATGATCTCTAATGTCCTTTCCAGTTCCAAAAGTTTAGGTTTCCAAGAAATCCATCTCTTCAGACCCAGTTTGAGATCATCAATATGCATAAACAAGGAGCAAGTAATTTACATACATGAATACTCTTTCTTTTAAAGAGTAAGAAGAATAATTTTTTTTTGATGCTGGTAGTTGGTGACAAAAAGGCAACTAATGGCTTGTGAATTTTTCTCAGAAAAGGAATCTTCAAGATGCAGTCAAGTACAACCTTGCATTGACTTAAATTCATAAAAGTAGATAGATAATACCTTTCAAGTGAATATCCTCATGGTAACTTAGTAAGTAGACCAATAACTTGAGATGATTTTAAAGTGGTAAAACATATGGAGTTAAGAAAATACGCTATGTACTAGAATTGTGAAAATAAGGAAGGGAGGAAAAAAATGTATGGTTATATTAGGAGATATTTTTATTTTATTTTATTCACATAATTTAGAAATGGAACCATTTTCATGGAACCATGAAAGTAGATTTTAAAATTATTTATTATTGACCATTTTATCACTTCACATATTTGCAAATGTACATTGTGTAGCTCTCTTTCAAGTCTCTACTTGAAAGTTAGAGATGTTTTGAAAATAGTTTCAATGTTGATACTGTCTCCATGTAAAGTATCTGCATTTTTTGGATAGTAGAAATTTATATACTAAATTAAAGCTTTTAATTAGGTAATGATGTGGATCTACTTGTGGAATGGCTTTCTGTCTCTTTTTAGTAATACTTGATTGGAATATAACTTTTTCCCTTTTATATCTTTTAAAAGGAGTATTAATGGTTTTCTAAATTCATGTATTTCTGGTCCTATACATAAAATGTCAACTGGAAGATGTAGTTTCTTAAGGAACACTCAATGTGTATTCAGATTTTTTTGATAGATAAACATGTTTGATAGAGAAGAAATTATTTCATTAGTTCATAGACCAATATTCACATTCATGCCATATATGGAGGTATAATACATAATTTTCAGGTGCTATATACTTACTTAATCAGTAACAATAATAAACACCACTTTACATTCTTAGGCATAGAATTAAGGCAACAATGGCAAATTTTTAAATTAAAATTTGTGTATTACAATATTAAATTCCAGCTATGTTGCAATAAATTAACTAGTTAAGATGAATAAATAGTTATGGTAGTTGGGATTTGTTTATGAAATATCATACCAACTTGAATCATGAGAAGATCATCACATAATGTTTACTGTCTACTCACATATCCTTGGAGATATTTACTAATCTTGTTGAAAATAGTCTTCGTAGTCCAAGTACGTTTTCCGGTGGCTAGCACCATGGTGCATTTTATGACCAACTTTCAGAAAAGACAACAAATGAATCCCAAAGACCCCTTTATTGTTACCTATGAAACATTTCTCTGGCCATTGTCCCCTGCTACATTAAATGTATACATTTCCACTTTATTTTCAGTCTTCTGTTTTGTTATTTTTGTTCATGAAGTTGCTATTGCCCATTTATTATTTAACTGTGCCCTTAGGACATGTTTGAGTATCAAATAATTACACAAATAAGTCTTGGGAGACATTTAATTGTTATTTTGAAAAAATAGCATGTTTTTAAATTAACAGTCCCAGATTATATAGTCCATCATGAGGCAC